TACTAAAGGTATTAAAAATTCATACATAATCATACCATCTCTTGGATTTTTTAAAAATTTCAAAGGTTCTAATAAATCAGCAAAGTCATATAATGTGTATACACATGGAAAAGTTTGAAAGAAAGGTTGAAGGGAAGAGTCATTGTAATTTACATCTGTTGCCAAAAATATTACGGATGGTAAACAAGCTTTGTTCTTTTTGATGTTAACTTTTTTAAAATCTTGAATTCTTTTGATAAGTCCTTGTATCGTTTGGTTTTTATTCTTGGCAAAATATCCATCTCCTAATCTTGTATGCACTCCAATAAAACTATCCGTTCCTCCAATTTTATCTACAATTCTATTTACGATATTAATTATTATTGGATTGTTTGGTAGCATTTTATTCTTTAACCGTTTCCAAAATTTTTGGCTTTTTGGTATATGTTTAACAATTCTATACTTTGAATATACAGTCCCAAAATGCATTAATTTTTGAGGATATTCTCTTAATTCCTTTAAATTTATCCTTATTTTGAATTTACCAAGCTTGGATTTTGATTTAGAGGAATCATAATATCGTTCTTGATACGGATATTCATCATTGGACACATTATACACATCAGTATTAGGATCAATGTTAAGTGACTCTACTAAATTGTTAAGATTAAAATCTTGCCGATGAATATACCTTATATAATTTCCTACAGATGAAAATTCTATTAAGTTTTCCCAATTGTACATTGTATAAGATACTAATTTGCAATTATTTTGATTTTCTTGAAAGCATGAAGTAGTATTGCAATTTGCATCAAATATTTGAATATCTTTTATACCCCAAAATTACTTTCCATTTCGTCTTCATTAAACCAAAATATAAATTTGTTCTCTTTGAAATTATTATTGGGATGTATAAATTGTGATAAAGTATTATATAGTTTATCATATGGTTGCGCTATGATTGGTACGCCTCCTACGAAATATAAAATAGGTGGAATTATTAAAGTTCTTTTTAAAAACCATGCCAAGAATATTGCATTTTCTAATGCAATCCTTTGATTATTGAAACCATCATGTGGAAGATAGGTTAAAAATTTTTCATTATGGTTTGTTAAATGATGATATTTATTTGAATATGAAATGTTAAACTCCTTTGAATTTGGGATATCAGATTTATTAGAATTTTGGATATTAAATTTAGTT